CGCCCCGGGCGGGCCCGGCCGCACCCTGGGGGGAAGCTATAAGGCAAACTCACCACCTCTTTATGAAGGGCTGTGGGAATCACCCATATGTCAACCTTAATTTGGGGCTCAGGGTTCAGACCCCAGCATTTCACGTACTTAGAACTGAAGATGTCACCACCAGTGCACATTATTATTAGAGGCACAGCACACATGGTCATGAAACAATGCAAGTACAATAAAAGTGCACAACTGGCCTCTGTGTGTGTTCGTGGGCAAGTGGGAGTATTTTAAAACCTTGAACCACCTTCTTAGTTATTTAACACTTGAAAGCAAAAAGCATTAATGCCCATTGTTACTTACTAGTGTTATTATTCACAAGCCATTATATAATTCTCCTCACATACAACGGACTATAAATGGTAAATGCTATGTGAAACAATGGGACTAAAAAAAAATAATTTATATTAGTTTACACAAGCAGACCTCACCTGACTGCAGCTCAAGGGCCACAAAGCATCTCTTCCTCCTCCAGATTCAGGCACATGTACTGTGTATTCCAGCTATACAGAACAGATTCCACCACCTAATGCCTACTCATAGTGCACTGTGAGATGCGTAAGGTAACGCACTATGGAGAATTCTTGCTACGTGCAGAAAACATTCCTTGCTAGTATTGTCTGAGGAGTGTGCAGGGAAGATACAGTCAGAACTGCCTCCTACTCAGATACAGCTGTTCAACTTGTAGCATAGGTTACCTTGCAGTATGTATCCAAAAGCAACTGAAAATTACAAGTGGGATGAAGGATAGAGAAGGAGGAAACTTCATTTGGCCCATAGTAAGAAGTTTTAAACACCTATGACAAAGTTATTGTCAGCTTTTCTTTTTTCTTTTAATTTCTTCGTCCTTTCCCCTGTATGAACCGCTGTCAAACACACAAAAAGAAAAAATGGCTCCAACAGATCCAACTGATTGCTTTGTCTTCAGGATGACAACATGCTCAAATACTGGCAAAACAATCTTCTATTCCTTTTGCTTTGAATTACAACAGAAGGCAGTTTTTGATCAGAACACTTTAGTGTCCAGTACTTGCATCTTGTTTGAGCAGCCTGAAGAGAACATTCAGTTCCACTGACAGTTTGAAGCCCTTCAATACTTTGCAAAAACATAAGAGAAAAACATCTGAACTGCGTGACTCTGTATTACAGATCAAAGTACACCTACCTTTAGACATCACAAAAAAAAAGTAATTGTAACAAATGCAATAGCCTCTGAAACTCACTTTTTCTTTGTGAGGACATATTGCTTATAATGGTATTTTGCACTTGCATACTGCAACTACATCTGAAGAACTTGAAGTGTTTTATGATCAACAAATAGCAGTGAACCCCGCAGCGCCTCCGCAGATCACGCAGCTATGCTCAGTCACCCCGTGTTGCCAGCGGCAAAACAAACCGGTGATCCACGGGACTCTTCCACAGTCTGCATGAAACTTGGATAAAGTTTCTGATGATAATTGGCCTCTTGTGGATTTCTGCTTGTTTCTTCCAGGTAACAAAAAAATCAGCACTGCGACCTGGAGTGTGCAGGCAACTGCCTGCATTTCAGTAAGAGCTGAACTGAAGTGAACTTCCTGAGTATCTTTAAAATATCTCAGAAGTGCCAGAGAACAGGAACACAAGTGCTGGAGTACCAGAACTACAACTGACCTTCAACCAGTGATGCCAAAGAGGCTTCTATTCTCAAGGGGGAAATGAGAGTTTATTCCTCTTTGGCTTCAACCCCACAAACACTTTCCAAGTTTTAAGAAATGTCAGAAAACAAGAGAAAAATTCACATTCAACACCAAATGTATGACATTGTAGTTCAG